ACTATATGGATCAGAAACCTGGCCGCTGCGCGCCGAGGACGTCAAAAGACTTTCAGTGTTTGACCATCGATGTCTTCGGAGCATTGCCCGAATCTGGTGGGAGCACCGGATCAGCAATTCTGAAGTACGTCGAATGGTATTCGGGAGAAATAACTCACCCTCGATAGATGAACTGATCACACTGCACAGGTTGCGCTGGCTTGGCCACGTGCTGCGTATGCCGGTCGACCGACTTCCTCAAAGGGCTCTTTTCGCACAACCACGTGAAGGGTGGAAGAGAGCCAGAGGCGACCAAACAATGACTTGGCAGCGAAGTGTGAAAGCCATTACCAGCAAACTCAGCTGCGCTGGTAATTGCCGTCTTCCTGGATGGGGACCCCGAGACTGGCCACATCAATGGCTGGAGACATTGTCAGACATGGCCCAGTCGCGCCCTCAATGGCGCTCGTGTATCCAAGCTATTACCTCCAATGCATAGCTCCTTTTCCACCCCCACCCCTCCCACTTGACAGCCCACTGACAGTGCTGGATTTATGCACCATTTTACCAGCTCGCACCTGCAATGCGCAGCTACCTACCCTTTCCCCCAAATCATCGGTGAACGAAACTGTGGCAGCTACAATCAGTGTACGACGAGTACGCGGTTCTTACAGCTGACAATGATGATGATGATGATTCTTGGATTAGTCCATGTGCTGCGCATTCCCAAACACCGACTACCAATAGAAGCTCAGTTCTGTGGACCAACTCTTTGTTAGCAAAAGGTTCGCAAGGGAGAGGCCGTGACTTACCAACGTCAAAGTTGGTGTGGAGGTATCTTCCCGGCTTCTCGGCTGGGGCCCACGCAGTCCCCGTTGCGTGCGGTTGGAAACCTTGTATCGTATGGCACGCAGCTAATACCACTAACCAGCGTGTTGTCGAGTGTTTGTACTGTGTTAGGTGGGGTCGAGTTCACTAATCACGTTATACGTCGAAACGATGCTCAGTTGTTTTCTCGATGGAATACACTGTTTTGTTGAGTCTATTTCAACGCGGCCTGGAGGTGTAAGTACCTTCAACCTTCGTAATGTACTACTCATAAGGTTGGTTGCTATCCGCCGACAGCCCACGACTGGTTTCGCCCTTTCTGGGGCTCATCACGTAGGCGCAGTCCCCGGGTTTCCGTCAACCTTATGTTCTACTTGAAACCAAATTGCACGAAATTCGCGAATATACACTCATNNNATTGCAGTACATGTATATCTTTTCCCTGAAACATCACAAACGAGAGATTCAGTTGGGTTCCAGGTGAGTCTCTCGAAAAACCAAATTAGTTTGCAAATGAGCGTATATTTGGTAGCCATAGACTCATTAAGATTGCGTTTTTATACAGCACAAGACCAATGCCATAGGGCATGACAAGAACACAAGCAATTAGTTACCTCACGGCTTGAACGGTTAGGCGGACAGAGTAAGCCCAACCATTGAATTCTGGTTAACAACACCTTTGTTTGAACAGTTCTCTTCCTGTCCTAGTGGAAGCATTCTGATTGGTTTGTCTAACTGAATTCCTTGGGCCGACAAAAAATTTGTGTCTTTGATGTCAGCTCATCATTTTTATACCGAATAGAGTATATAAGTATTGTTTTGAGATTTCACAACAATATAACAGTTTGGTATGCTAACAGCTAGTGGCACGTTTGTAAAGTTTATTTACAAACAGATCCGTTCCGTTGGAGCAGTTGGCCGTGCCCTCTCCGGGAACGGCGGTAAAATTGACTAATTCGCTTTCGGCAGAAAGATCAAGCTTGTACTATGTGCACTTTGAGCATTGCAGAGTTGACTCGAATTGTCCGTTGTTCTACTGAGATAAGCTTGCTAAGGAAGAGGTGGGCGTGTTTTTTTCTAACAGCATACGCAGTTGAATAGCAACGCTACCAAGCAGTGCTTTTCTGTTTGACATTCCAGATAGCGAGCTCGGAAGTTTCCATTTTATGTCTGCGTAATGGAAGCAAGGCTTGGAATTTTGGTAGTTGGAAAGAAGACCACTTGCGCTCTTCGGTAGAATTCGTAAACAATTTTTTTCGCTCGCCAGTTTCGTTGCGTTCAAACCCTACGGTCAGTCTGGTCAGATTGACCAGATAGGGGTAACTGATGTATCTTTTTTTCCCTAGAGACCTAGTTTCAAGACATGAAGGTGTAGTTGTCATTGGTTTTAAGATTTTCTGTCTTGTACAGTTAAATTATCCAAGGTGAATGTGTTTCGGCAAAGTCATTCAATGCAACCACGCTTACTAGGCACTCTCGGGCGAACTTTCTAATCGCCACTGACTTTTTGCTAGTCTTGGGCTGTTAACAGGACAGTGAGCAGTCCACTAATGTGCCAAACCACCCTTGGCTTTATACTGACTTCGGAGGACTGAGCGGCACTCACTCCCAATGTGTGCGGTGCGAAAACGGGTTTAGTGCTGAGAGGTCAGCACACTGAATAGGTCAGCAGAGCAAGTCTCTAGGAGTTCACCGTTCGCATCGTGCATGAAGTTGAAAGAATGTCGAGGGCATAGAAGAGAGAACAGTCGTAGACATTTGATGGCCCAAATGCTCGAGACAGACTAGAAATTTGGAAAATTGCACTGCGGCGGTTTGCATGAGGACTCTTCAGTATCAATCTTGGGGATGTCAACAAACGGATTATGATTAAAGAACCCCCCCCCGAGGCATGAAATTTGCCGAATCACAAGTGTGGTCAACGGGTAACAAATGTAGGATAATAGGTTTTCACAGGGATGTGCAAACAGCGTTTGCATGAAATGAAATCATACATCAAGGTAGATGAAAGTAATTATAATATGGACAATAAAAGAAAGCTCATTGTGGTTTAGTTACATTATGAGTAAGCCTTTCATCTGAAAGTAGAATTGTGAATTTCAGAATGGATGAACAGCATAGGAAACGCAAATAGTGAAGCAAGCGTGGAACATACCACAAGCTTATACGATATTGCATCCGATTCGTACACCAGGGATTTAAAAAAAATCACTCCAATCTCACAGCGCATCGAAAAAGAAGCGTTTTATTACTGGAACCATCGTGTCTTGGTCAGGTAAAGAGTAAAGAATGTGTAAAGGCAAATCTGATGTATCCACAATTTTACAACCAGTTATCAAGACAGTCGATTGCTTAGTACACAAGTTTCTTCATAACTTGACCGGGATAAAGACGAGACTGTTGAGCTCGCTTGGGACTCAAGGGAAGGTTGTCCAATCTGATTTGTAGAAGGTGCGAGGGCGGTATCTAGTTCCGAATGAACAACGTGTTGTTGATGTTGCTGGGGACCGGGCAGCATGGAACGGTTAGTCCGGGTTGAGGTGTGCGTTTTCGAGGTTGGGGAACGCACTAGGCTATCCGAATTGGAGGTTTGTGTAGTCTGGAACAACAAGATGCGAGCTCGAACTTGTCCGACACTCTGGTCGAAAGGATCGATCATCAAGGCATCAGAAGCCTGGAATACGTGAAGAACTGTAACAATTATGACCACATTGAGCGTACTACTTTCAATATAGTTAGTCGATTAAAAACTTGAACGCTGCTTACCAGTTTGGATAGCATTTCCGTAGCCCTCCAAAGACGTGACGTTTTGGTGTATGTTAAAAACGTGTTTACCACAACCATTGAAACATTTTAACGACCTAGAATACCTATACTTTAAACTCTCCTATAAAAGCGTCACTCCCCAAGATGCTCACCTTCTTAACTTTGGAGCGCAAGGCCACTGTTAAAAAGTACATCTGGACTGAAGTGCTGCTTATCCAGACACAAACAGTCCAGTTTACCTAATTTCAAGTTTTGTTGCACTAATTTGGTTTTTCGAGAGACTCACCTGGAACCCAGCTTCATCCTTATTTAGCGTTTTCCCTAGGGAAATAGAGCTTTGTGTAATAGGTGTCTGTCCTCCATGCACGCTCTTCTCAAAACGCTGAGCATTTGCGTGCAGTAGTGCCAACTGACGTCCAATCTTTCTGTAGCAAGGCTGTATGTCACATCAAAAATAGTAAAACTGTCCGTAGCCGCTTTTACCCTTCTGCCTCGTCACACGCACTACGCCGTCGGTTTTTGATAACTATGCTCGTTTGCCACTTCATTCGCGCTAGGTGGTGTTTGCATAATGTAGCTGGCTATTTTTGCAGATTTTACGATAGGTTTAGCCGTAGCTTAATTTGCCGTCATTGTAATTTTGCAATGGTCGTTGGCCTCCTGAATAGGTTGAGCATAATTTGAAATCCATCCATTTTCTACCTGTTTCCAGGCCCTAACTCTGCTGATCCATGTGCTGGATGACTGGGATAGAGCCGTATCTCATTGTGCAAATGTCTATCAGCGTGTCAGTCATACAATGTTGGAAGAAAAGCTACCTACCAGTTCTCACATAGACTTTAACGACAAACGCGCGTCTTCCGTTCAACCCACTCCAGGCCTCCCAGTAACTACCCTGTCACGGTCCCCTGCCCGTGACTCGCTTGGTCCAAACCTAGAATTCTGTGGTTCACCAGCAGCTGCATCGCATCAGCTGGGTGACGGGTCGATTGTTGAACTGGAAGCAGGTGGCCACGAAGAACGTGATATATTCTTCCTTTTGGTACAAATCTGTATACAGCCACCGGAACCGGCTTCACTAGGGATTATCATCCCAGAAATCCCAGGTAATTTCCCATCTTAGGTGAAGTGAATATGGCTATACACTTTGAGGCCCTTGACATTTTACGACTCGCTACATCCATCTTTACATTTTGGCGAGGTCGCTTGAATGTTCGTTTCGCATCAAGCTTCCTTGCTTGAGGTTAACCAGAGGTGGCTCAAGTGGTTAGAGCGCGAATTTACTGACCGGAAGGTCTGTGATTTGAACCCGGCCTCTGCCTCTCGACTTCCTCTGTCTAACCTTGGGCAACCTGGCAATATCCCATCCCTCGTATTTCCTTCGGGTGGCACGGCCGCTAGGCACCGGAAGGGTGTTACAGCTGAACTTTTTCTTAATCGATCACTAGATTTACTTCTTGATGTTATTATATAAATGACAATTAACTGATAAGTGTAACTTTATTCTGAAGATTGTGGCGGTTAGCCTTTTCTTATTTTCTCCCAGTGATGAATTCAACATATACTTTTCAGTGCACACGACCTTCGAAGGTTATGAATTCTCTGAATCCCAGTTGAATTGCTCCTCTTCTATTTTCCTGAAGGTGAAAGCTTCTAAACTTACCTTAAAACAATATTTTCACTTCTGCCACTATTTTATCTTTGTTGAACACCAACGCACCACGAGATTCTTGTGGCATGGGACAACTTGCGGTGTTTGCAGTGAGTGAATGGGCGGCATGGGCGAATATTTTTTCAAACATACCGTCGGTTTTTCTGGAAATTTACATACTAAATGAGCAGGAGTACTAGGGAAGCACGAGGGAAGCAGTTCTCGGTTGAAAGTAGCCTGGCATCCGTTAACCCGAGTCCAAAGCATCACAGGTTGTCCCGTTGATCACATTCCTCCGCACATACCTATTTCGCAGTTAGAACCTCGCTTGCTGGTAGAACCCGATACCAGCGCACCCAGCGCACACTGTGTTTCAGTGTAAAATTATGTGATGTCTCTGGCAAACACGCTTAATCGCCACTGAGCGAATCGGAATGTCCGTATTCCAAACCAGACATTTGAACGTCCGCAACTACACAGCTTCTGTCTTGAACAAAGTCCAGCTTGAGCTTTCCCTTCGAAGTGTTGCAGGTTCGGAGGTAATTGCCATATCGGGCAGACCTGATCGAGTAAACTTTAATGGCAATGAGCAAACGAACAGTTCAACGTGCGTTCCCGTGCCTAGGCAGATGTGTCTACCACCCAGTAGTTCTTTTTCGGCCGCCAGGTATTTAGGATACAAGTTAACTACTGGTTGGGAATAACGGAGATGGTTCTTCTGGTCTAAAAGACCTAGGTTGATAGATAGATGACGCACAGCGAGTACTGCCATTGCGCTGGCAGTACCCACAAAACATACTGGCGAACACATACAGTGATGCCTTAGCATGGCGAAATCTATTTGCTCCTGATAGTCATGCTAACTGGGTGAATGCCCGTCTACGGTGACCTGTGTCTATCATTTATTCGAGTACTAAACTGCTTTAGTGCCTTTTGATGATTGCTATCTTGGGCTTTTGTTTGTGTGTGTTTTAGCGCCAATTATGCTCTTAGGGCTTGTCGCGTTCTCTGGACACTAGTTGTAATCCCCAGAGTTTGTATCTCCAAATTCTGTCGAAGGATCTGTTGGCAAAGGTTATTCGTTTTCCCATAGCAGCACTATCTCCAGTCAAGCATGGGAATCACTCAGGTGCATTGGTGCTGTTGGGATAGGGGTTACAATCATCACCGCAGGTTTCATGCCAAATGTGAAAGATCCAAGCAACCTTGCTTCATTTCAAGCTCTGGTGGCATTGCAATTTTTTTATCGTGTATCATTAATTTACAGGTTTTTACTAGGCCTTCTGCCACCCTTTTTTCAGGTGAAACTTCAATTATCTCCGAGGGGTTCTCGCCCAAGCCGGAGAAGGCAATTGAAGTCTTGCGTCGTTTCGGTGACCGCGTGGACGCTGCTAAGGTGGTGCGAATCCTGACAAACACCAGGCTATTTGACGTGGCACATTTTCTCAAGGTTTGTTTTTTTTTCGATTGATTTCAAGAAGTTGGTAACTTCCCAGTTGTTGTAGTACAATAGTCGTCCGCTTAGTGAATCCTACGACTAATCCGTAAGATAATTCATATTGGTGGATTTCCAAACGTTCCCATCTTCGTTCTCATGCTAAATTGAGTGTTTTTCATTGGATACTTAGAATTCCAGTGTTAGCTCCAGGTCTCGTTACCAAGAAGTTGAGGATATCTGTAGTGTGACAATGTTTAGAAAAAACCGACCATATTGGGAACCATTAGCAGTGCGCATCTCACAAAACTCCACGGAGTTCATAACCCGTGACCTCCCGACTGGTAGGTTGAACACTTAACCGTACGGCCGCGAGCGGCTGATCAGCAGCGGGGTTAACCCGCACTTGGATAGGATGTGGCGCCACTCGTCTCTCAATTACGGAATCCGCACTACGTGGTCATGTATTGACTAGCCCATCGAATGGCGATTTTTCGTGTAGAATTTTTACTCGTCGTGTGAGTTATTCTTCCTTCTGATAACCTATAGATTGTTGGTAAAGTTCCCTACTACTACAAAAAGCTATGCGTTTTGACATGCATTTTTACCTTCCGTTTGCTGGCACGCTCTTGCGCGAGAATCACTTATGTTGATTCCGATCGAATTAGGGAACATTGGGATATAACCACCTTGGGCGTGCACTCGGAAGGCAGAAAGGAGAAATACCACTCGGTGAACAGCGATACTGAAACGTGTCGGACGTCGTATTGAACAATCTTGACTCTCTGGTAACCATAGGTGGATCAGTTTTTAGTCTGTCGATTCGTACTTGTTCATCGATCCCCTTTGGATTGTCTAACGTGATCCCGGTAGATCTGAAAGCATGTATCGGTGACGATTTGATGTTATTGGAGAACAAAATACCCATACACACAAGGCCGCCACCACTGGTACGCCAATAGCTGCATTTTAACGATTATTTCGTTCTTTCTCTGAATGCCTCCTCAAAATGAACGCATCCGGCGAAACTTGGTATGAATGTAAGAAACAGGATGCGTCAGTTGATAAGTAATTCCCCAAAGTCTTTAACCGCGCAGACTACGTGCCAACTGACCTTTCGCCAGGGTGTGGAAATTCCATTCAATGTGTTTCCTTAGGCATATTGGGCACGAAAGGAAATACCGTACATTGAGGTGAATTACTGTCGATTACATGTCATCGATCGTCTTTCATCATCATTTGATAGTGGGAAATAGGTAAACGTTGGATTACGCAGGTTTCGGGAAAGTTAGCTTCAGTAGGATCGCCACTTGGTCCGTTTGAAAGGGTCTGACTCATTCGGAAGCGATTATGTTACTGCTTTCTGTGCTCTTGGTTGCAGTACATTGTGGTGTTTCTTTTATGTTATGTTTGCTAAAATCTTGCTTGCCGAATATTCAATCTTGTGAGTTCGACAAGCTGTCGTTTACTGGACTTGACCACTAGTTCGGCCAAGCCCGGTGGAATTTTCCTATACCTTATACAGTTTAGGTATCTTCTGTCGAGGTAACTGGGCGAGATAGCATTACACCTTACTTATTTGATGTCGTTGCAACAATGGTCTAGCTATCAGTGAGAATTAGTTATTTCATGAAAACAGCCCATACTGGGAACCTCGTCCCCTTTTGGAGACATTTGAGGATAACGGAGGCTTGTGACTGGAGTACCAGAGATATTGTTGTTCCGATAAGCAGACTTACATGTAACCCTACCCGGCCTAAAGCTGCCACCTTGACGTGGTGGTCGGGCTTGAGTGCTGCAGCGATCCCGCGGGCTACACTGGCTGGAACTTCGTTCCACAAGGTGCAACCATGCCA